ACTTCACATTCTCTATATTTTTCAAATTTTTGTTTCTATATTGTCTATATATATCATACTGAAATTGTGCACTCTTGGGACTATGATTCTAAAATTGCATTGCTTGAACTGCATGTAACTAATCTTTTCAGATGTAAAAATCTGGTTTCCTTCATCAATCTAAATATGCCTTCAGGTAACTGTTTTACTGTCTTGGCATGTATTATTCTGCCTTAATCTCTGTTTATGAGACGTTTTAAAAGCCATGAAGAAATATACACTGCAGGTTGTCCAAATGAATAAATCCAGTTGAAAGTCATAGTGATCAATTCTGTAATCCAATAACACTCCTATTGTACGAAGCAGAATCTGACTATTTTTACAGCATTACAATTGTAATTTTTTTATATCAAGCATTTTCCAAATGTATGTTTGTAGTTTGAGTCCTCATTCTGCCAATGCCCTATATTCAAACAAATCCTGCAATGAGTCTCTAAAATCATGACATTAAAAACAAATAAACAAACAAAAAATCCAACAATAATTTGTTTCCTGAATGCAGAAACTCCCAGGTTTTTATGTTTTTTCTCTAGTACTAGTTTCTAGGATGGTTAGAAAGTTTTTTTTTTTGTTTTTAAAAATGAAAGCTGAAATTCACAGGTATTCACATAATTTCTGGTGAATTGTGTGAATGTTTTCCTGAAGAAAAACACCAATTGTTATGAAACTCATAGAGACTATGAGAAGAATGAGTAGCATGAAAACCCAATTAATAAAAAATGAAATTAATGTGAGGAAGTACAACTTTTTTTCCAAAGGATATCTATACAACAACTACCAGGAGCAACTGTGAGGTATCTCAGATGATACCTTGTATCAGAAGCAATCCAAATGTTTTCAGAATGTCCCATTTATTAACTTGACAGAGCACTCTGAAGTGCAGATCAAATTGTTTGAAATACTATTACAAAATTATGAAAGGGGGGATTAATACCTGTTCTCAGCAGAATACTAAAAGGTATTAGGAGAAATATGGTCCACACAGCTTGTTAGCCATCTCTGTAAAAATATGTCAATACGTTCTGAAATGGGTAGATGTCCTTCACTGCACATAACAGTATATCCCTAGGCCACAGCTGCAGCACGAGCTTAATTCAGACCTCAAGGCTGTACCAAAAGCTCATCAACAGAGAAACATACTGCAGAGGATTTCAGTAAGCAACAATCCTAACATGCCAGCATGCCTATCTACCTTTGAACCAGCATTTTGTACTTGAGTCATCGGGTTATCTCACAGAAACAATACCAAAGAGGATTACAGCATCCTAGGGGCTAAAAGCACATCCCTAGTTTGTGTCTGCAGTCTACAAGGGTTACAGGGCACTGGGTGTTGATATTCCCTCAAACAGGGTTTCTTCAGCGCATCTTATGCTTCACATCTGCCTTACCTGTCCTACGTAAAAGCTGATGACTGCCTATTGTATACCTCCTTCTGTGGTGAACCTGGTGAGCAGACAGAGCGGATGAACTTGCCCAGTGTCTGAAAGGCAGGTAAGAGGAACATTCTGGGGACTAGACTTCCCTTTTCAGTGAGGGTGGCCACTGTGCCCGCATAAGAGTCCCACTGATTCCTTCAGGCACAGTTCCCTTCATTCCCTCCGCCCCAGCAGAACAAGTTTTAGCTCTTTGGTCTCATTAACCAAATGAGTGAATAATAACTAGTGCTATTGTTATTATAACCAGGGGGACCAAACTGATAAAAGACCATAGAGGAATTTTGTTTTGTTCTAGAAGTTGTGCATTTGAATATTTATTACAAATAAATGTGCCAAGTGGAATGTTTGCACCTAACTTTTTTTCTTACTGGTTAGCTCCTACCGTGTCTGCTTCAGCATGTGAGAGCCTATCCAGTGAATATATAGTAATAGATCTCTTCTGCAAGCAAGTTAAATAGTGTTCCTGGCTTTCTTGCTTCACTAGACTTGTTCTGATCTTTCCTGGAAAAGACTGAATCTCTTCTATCTTCAGGAGATCAAAACTACAACCTGAGATACTAGACCTCAGGAAGTCAATTAAATAGCAAACATACACCCTAAAATGCTGACTAGCCAGGTTGTCTTGAGCTAAATTAATTGGGTTAAATTTCATCTATTTTTACCCTTCAGGACTTGAAAGTACTTGGACAAACAAACACAAAAAACTTTGTCAAGAAAGGACTACCATTGAAAACACAATCTATGTTGCATTCAGAGAAGGACAAGTATTTCAGGATCAACTCCTCCCTCTATCTCTCTCCCCCTGTCCCCCCTCCCCAAATCAACCAGGCATCATCCATTTTTTTGCAAAAGTTAAGAAAAAAAAATCTCTGTGAACACTCTCAAGTGAAAAGGGAATGGAAAAAGATAAAAAAGAACAGAATTTTTTTTTCATTACTGTGTTCAACCAGGTTAAAAAAACTTAGAAACATACTTTTATGCAGCATTATATACCAAAATGTATTATATTACCTAAGAATTAGGCAGCTATTTCTTAGTCCACAAATTGTAAGTAGTTCGGTTCCTCAAGCACTATGTTATAGTGCAGGAACAAGGTCTGGGAATTAACATCTTTGTCTGGTAGACTTCTACAGATGCCCTAAATCAAACTAGCACTGCAAATATTCAGGTTTTATACAGGTATAAGGTTTTCTTATATACCTCTAACCTTCCAAAGTCCCATTCTTATGGAGGGTTGTTATAGCTCCTCCTAGAGACCATTGAGTTCAAGTCCACCACCTCATCTACGCGGACACGTTTTTGGAGGAGCCATAATGCAGTGTTCCCAATACTTCCAAGAATTTATGATTCTCTTACAGCCCCAAATTCCTGTAGCTTTCTGAAAATCTCAGCTTTCTTTCCTAAAAGGACTTCCAGTCCCTGTGGGTTATCCAGAAAAGACTAAACATGACCAGCACAACACAACATCTCTAAAAGCTAAGTGCACAGACCCCAGGGAATATGTAGCTTTAAAACATCATTATCATTAAGCCAACTTCACCTTCTGTCACAGTACTGGTACCATGAGCTAGAATTGCGCTGAACTATGAGCCCTTGTATGCCTTTTCTGCCTGAGGCTCTAATTCTTCCCTTCAGTGTCTCCATTTCTCGGATGCTACTTTTGCAGGATATACTGGCAGCGACAGCTGAGCAGCACACCATTAGAACAACCTCATCAGTTTTGCTGTGAATCTGTTCAGTCTTTGGGAGAAGCATACTGTATGCAAGTGCATCTGTCTGAAGCACATGAAAGAAATTGTGGAGCTCCTAGTACTTTATGCCAATGCTAAAGTCTTACAGCCACCTAAGAGTCTCCAGCTCCCCTTCATGCGGTGCTCTCTTATGTAGTCTGCAGGGCATCACACTCACCATTCATCAGCAATAAAAACCAGAGCCTGCCTCAGAAGGATGGTAAGTGCGCCCAGGTTTTCTCTTCAGTCCTGTACTGTTGCCTAAACCTTTCTTTGCAGTATCCCTGGCCCACAGGACTGAAAACTATTAAGAACAATGAAAAGTTCAGGAAACTACTTGCTGTTGGTGAAGAAAGGTGAGCATCCAGATTATTTTACCCCAAGTCTGGATTTTGTATTAAGTTTTTTTAACCCCAAATCCAACCCTCCCTCTCTGCATTTCAGAGCAGGCGTTTCAAAGGGAGGACTGAGGCTGAAGTCAGAACTATGCATGGGATGCCCTGGGCATCTGGTTGGAAACAAAAGAGCAAGCCCACTTCAGTGGAAGTGTGGACACGTGGAAGGGGAGCAGGCTCGCAATCCGCACACCCTCCCCCAGACCACTGCTGCTGACCCGGCAGGAGCCAGGCCTCTGGGGCTGTGCCTGTTGCCTTACCCTAGAGGTAGGCTCCATTCTCCAGGGCAGATGAATGGTATGTGTGGCATCACCAGCACAAGGCATGCTGGAGCACCACATGGAGGGAAGTTGGCAACTGCGTGTAGCTGCTCTTGAAGAACCTGGAAATAAGGGGGGGGAAATACAGACTAAAACAACAAAATGTGCAGAAATAGGCTTCTCTCCTTTGCATTGGGGTGCTTAGCACACATCCATTTCTTTGGCAAGTTTATTACTGCCTCACTGTATTAATAAACCTTTGACAGACAAAGTTTGAACTCTCCTTTCCCCTGCCAAGAAGTTTCAAAAACCTAAATGCAATCAGATGCTCCAAGTTTGCTAGGATTAAAATTAGACCCAAGCACAATGCAGAAAGTGTCCTTTCAACTGTTCCTGGGGAGGAAAGTGGCAAAGTCTGAACACAAGAAACCGAAATATTAATGTTTCCTCATTCCTTCCTAATTGCCTAGTCTCATCTAGAGAAAGCTAAGTGATTCAAGAGTCCTTAACAAACAGCAGTCCTCTCTGAGTGACATGCAGTGCAAGCTAAACCCTGATGTTACCTCTAAAGCCAAGACTTCCTAGAACAGGTACCTAGCATCGGGATCCAAAAGCATATTACCAGGCATCTAAACATCCTCGTTTTCTGTGAAACCTGGGGAGCTCCTGACCCCATGAGACCACAGAGTACCTGCCTGAGAGGGTTAAATGGGGTCACTGACTTAATGTGGGTTCAAAGCCCAACTCTGGGGTCCTTTCGCGGGATTATTAGGGCAGGAGGAGGAAGGGCGGCTGCGGCTCCGTCCGCAACGCGTATCGGCCGGGGCCAGCCCCGCTCCAGAGGGCTCCGCACCAGCTCAGAATCTCCGTCCCTCCCCGGCCCACTCCCGGGCTGCCCCGGGAAAACTCCTCGGGACATCGCCACTCTCCGGCGGCCAGCTCCATCCCAGGCACGTCCCTGCGCAGCCTGCGCGGCTCCCCCGCCGCCGGGGGCAGGGATGCGGGGGCTTCCTTTGCCTGGCGCCCCTGGGGGGAGCCCCCCGGCCGCCCCTCCGCCGACCCCAGCAGGGCCTGCCCCCGGAGGGGCTGCTGTGCCCCCCCCGCCCCGCCGGCCCGCCTCGCCTGCCCGCGAGCACTCACCATATTACAGATGGAGGCGATGTTTCTGACAGTCATTAGTCTAAAGGTTGCAGCGATCCCACACCGCCATCTTTATAAGGTGAAAACAGCCCCGCTCATGGTGGGAAGAGCGCAGGAAGGGAGAGGGGGCGGCGGCGGCGGGTTCTGCTCCGGGGCTGGGATAAAAGCAAGAGGAGGGGACTGCACCGGCACCCTTTGCGCCCGCAGAGCAGCGAGGACGGGCCTCCCTGCCCTCCCTCCTCCGGGCGAGCGGCCGGGCGCTTCAGCAGCGCGGGGAGAGCAGCCGCAGCCCCGCTCCTTCCGCCTCTGCCTCTCGCACGGTCCGCAGGGCCC